CTTTGTGTTGTCCTTTGCACAGCAGGGTGAGGCCCTAGTAGTCAGCCATAGCCTTGGCCTTCATGAAGAGGAAGAAGGAAGGTGGCCATGGCTATGGCGGACCTCATGTTGTGCCTGCAGTAGAAGAGGGATTCATACGTTGGTTCTATTTCTGCCATTCAACATTATTATTGTTATTGATTGTTTGAATATAAGGGGAGGAGAAAAGGAGGAGGAGAGTGGTTGGTGAAGAAGAAGGGGATTCTCATTGGTCTTTGCTGGTGTACATATTCTTCTTCTTCTTTCCTTCATCACCTTCTTCTTCTTCTTCTTCTTCTTCTTCTTCTTCTTCTTCTTCTTCTTCTTCTTCTTCTTCTTCTTCTTCTTCTCCTCTCTCTCCTCTCAAGTTCATTCATTTCTTTTTGCAATTGGACGGCATTGTACTTTCTGATGAATGTCTACTTCGAAATTGGCCAGGATCGTAATATAATAATAATATTAATAAGTTAATAGAGTAGTGATAAAATAAGTCCAGAAAAAAACTCAAGTTTGTGAAAATTATCAGAAAAAATCACAAATGAAAACATCTATTTGACAGAGCGCTTGTGATGTTTCCAACAACTTTCCGGGAAAAGCTTGGCAGAAGTGGCACCTTTCATTTTCTGTTTCTTCAACAAAAAATTGTAAGTTTGACAGAGCACTTGTTGTTGATCCCCGAACAACTGTAAGTGTGACTGTTCTGTATGTTCCACAGAATCCACACATAATTTTACAGTGTTTAACTTTTTATTTCCACAATCCTTTTTTTATCAAATTTATTTGTTTAGCCAAATTTTCATTTGTTTGGGTGCAAGTTTAGGTCCACCAAGTTGCATTCTGCAGTCAATTAGGTAAAATGACTCTCAATATGGCTACACAGCCTACACTACCATTCTTCTTCTTTTTTTTTTTCTTCTTTTTTTTTTTAACTTCTTATTGTACGCCGGCCGGGTTAACTCGACACCCGCAGAATAATGTATAGTAGCATTGTATACTTAACCAGTTGCAGTCTTCAGGTCTTAAAGCACCAGTACATGCCAGCTATTGGCTGCGGGCCCCTTTCGGAGGTCGCCCGCCGCCGATTCATTTTATCTACGGCACTCGCCCTCCTAAATTTTCGGAGAGGCTCAAAACATGTTCTCCAGCGGCCCGGGGCCAGGTGGTTTGACGAAGACATTGGCCTCACTACAGGACGTCGTACAATAAGTTTATAAACTTTATATTAACCTTATAACGAAATTTCCAAAACTTTTGGCCTGCCCTAAGTTGGTCCTGCTATGTCGGCAACTCTGCCTTTTTTTTTTTTTTTTTTTTGCGTGTCCTTACGGGCCCACGTCCATATCCATTTCCGGGGACCATCGGTGTGGTTCCTTTTTTTTTTTCTGGATGGCATCCGTCTGGCTCCTACTACCCCCGCGAGTCAGAAAAAAATACATCACGTTGATTCACGTACTCACTCTTGGCGCCGCCTCACCATTACGGCCTGGGGACGGCAGCTGGTAACGAAGGGAGCGGCATCAAGGCAGGACTCGCTGGTCAAGGTAGGTAGGTAGGTACAACGGACACAGTCAATCCTTCTTCCAAAAAAGGAAGTGGTGAATGACGGCGGCAGTATTGTCGTAGAAAAATGGCGTAGATCTGGAACTCTACAGTTCTTTTTCAGTTATATTTCTCTGATGAAATAAAATTCTGCATGATTGGCGAACCTTTTCCATCCCCCCGCCCCCCCTTGGGAGTCCCCTGATG